CGGCGTGTTGCTATCAGCGCAGTACTTGACGGTGGGTTGAGGGCTCTTGTGAGATGGGCTGAGCTGGGTTTGTGCCAACCGTAAAGATCAACATCGTTATGTCAACAGAACTCATCGGCCCATATGGAAATGTAATATATGGCATATTTTTCCCTATATCAAGACTCAAGAGTGATATGTTAAGGCGATATAGAATTTTTACATTATCTGGGTAGATGAAGATATAAGTTTATAACATAAATAAAATCCCCATAGTAAATTGTGAGCTAATAATATCTATACAATATTATTATTTTTATATTGTATTATATGTAGAAACCACATGTATGCATGCATATATATATATATATATATATATGTATGTATATGTATATATTTAGAGTGCACGTAACAAAGGCTGGAAATGGAATTAACATGCACTCACTAAAAATCAAATGTGCATTCCGATCATCATTAATCAAACTCATTCAGCTTGGAATTACAGTTCTGCTATGGTTGACCTTTCCTTCTTTTCTGGGTATTATTTCAAGGGTTGAGAACAGTGTTTTATCAGAATAAATGAAGGCCATTCTTTCCTTTCTGCAGGCACATGTCTCATTTTGTTCTCATGTTATCCCAGTGGAGTCCAGAGAACTGGCCGCATTGGACTGCCAAGGCTGTCGACTCGTATTTGTCTTCATTTATTTTTACGCTCATTTAATACAACTCAGCAGGGAGGGATGAACATCTTTTCACAATATATTCTCAAAGCTTTGCAGAATCATCCTTTAACAAACATTCATAAAGAAAAAAACTCAAAAACACAAAGATGATGTTTAGATGCTGACAATGCTTAACTTGTAAAGATGATGATAAGGGAAAAGAAAGATGAGTCTTGAGTCTAGACTTTAACTGTAAGAGTGAGTTCCAAATATTTCCAGGTTATTCCAGAGATGATTTTGCAACCATGAGTGTGCCAGATTCCGTCATGATAGAAGATCAGAACAGTGAAGCTAGAATTACTAAATGCCTTGATATGATCAAAGACTTTAAAAGCTGCATTTTGAACCAACAAATTGTTGACTGAGTCTGCAGGACATCTAGCCAGTAATACATTACAGTAATATAAGTTTTCATAACTGAGCAATTCTTTTAAGATGGAGAATGCTGTTCAATAAATACTGGAATGTGGTTCCACGGGGATTTTAAAGGGATTGTTCACCCAGAAAATAAAATTCCATCATCATTTATGCTACGTTTACACGACAACGATGTAGTCAAAAACGGAAACGTTTTCCCTTGCGTTTTTACAAAATGATTTGCGTTTACACATATCCACAAAAACGGCCAAAAACGCTGTATTATGTATGCCAGGCCAGTAGTTGGCGCTGTCACCTTGTTAGTAAACAATACCTGTAGGGAAGTGACGATTATATGATGTATATGATGCGTCTCCACTGTTGGTTGTAATATTGGTGAATTAAATCCACACTTTGCTGAAGAAGCGTTAGCAAACTCTTGAGCAGCAACAACAGTACCACGTACTCCGCCATTGTTGTGTACGTTTGTTCATGCTTGCCTTTAAAATCGACACGTACTGCACATGTCTACATACCTAACATGTACTACAAACAAAAACAAACCCTAACCCTAACACGTACTACGCACGCGCATGACGTCACCATTTTCAAAGATTCCCATTTTGGGTGTTTACACGGAAACGATAACGGTGGCGTTTTCAAAAACTTGCACTTTGAAACCCGTTTTCAAAAATATAAGTTTTCAGTCCCCAAAATGCCGTTGTCGTGTAAACAAACAGGCAAAACGCATCAAAAGTTTCCCGTTTTTGGCTGAAAACGTTGTCGTGTGAATGGCCCTTTAGTCACCATCAAGTTGTTCAAAGTATATTTCTTTTATCAATTGATTTCAAAATAAGATATTTTGAAGAGTGTTGATAAGCAAACAGTTGACAGTACACTTGAGGGTGAGTAAATGATAACTTTAAACTCAAAATTGTTCATAAAATCATGATCTATGGTCACAAACATCACAGTAAATACATATACATTTGGGGTACATTACAGCGATATCCCAGGTTCTGGAATGCATAACTGTATTAAGTTTAAATTTAAATGGTTGACTATTAAATGTAATCATTATATTAATTGGTAAAAGCAAGTAAGAGCAAAACTATCTGTTTGTCCAACGGGACTGTTTGGGAGAGATGAAGGATAAAGTGTTACAATATTTATTAAATTCTGTTGAATGATGGCAGTGGCACATAAACTACACTCTTTAATTTGAATAAACTAAATAGGGGTTTTAAATTTGTCCACTACTCGTGTTTGGCCATTATGGACTTAACTTCATATGATTCGCTTGGTATAACCTGTCCTGATTTATGTCTGTGAAATCATCAGTACTTATTACTTTTCAATGGACAAAAATTGACGACAAAGTCTACACATAGTACATCCTCTTCCTGTGGGGTTAATAAGCTTCAGTGTGGACCAGACTCTGTAACATTTCACTGCTATGCGAGCCCAGGCAAGCCCTAAAGTGAATGTCAGTCACATGCTGTATGCAGGCTATGTATTCCCGTATAGTGCATTCAAAATAAATGGACACCTGAAAACAGGTGGCAACACAGCAGGGACAAAACAGCTGGGAGTGAGAAATGGAAAAATGAATAGCAGTGTCAAAAGATGTCATGTTTGGAAAAAGTCTAAGTTTGCTGAAATATCCAATGCTGCTTTCATCTATTTGGAGTCCAGGTTTAATATGCACAAGGGGTTATTAAGAGGCTGCAATGGCAAAGTGAAAGCACCGGCCCTTCCAATGGACAAAAATTGACGACAAAGTCTACACATAGTACATCCTCTTCCTGTGGGGTTAATAAGCTTCAGTGTGGACCAGACTCTGTAACATTTCACTGCTATGCGAGCCCAGGCAAGCCCTAAAGTGAATGTCAGTCACATGCTGTATGCAGGCTATGTATTCCCGTATAGTGCATACAAAAAAAATGGACACCTGAAAACAGGTGGCAACACAGCAGGGACAAAACAGCTGGGAGTGAGAAATGAAAAAATGAATAGCAGTGTCAAAAGATGTCATGTTTGGAAAAAGTCTAAGTTTGCTGAAATATCCAATGCTGCTTTCATCTATTTGGAGTCCAGGTTTAATATGCACAAGGGGTTATTAAGAGGCTGCAATGGCAAAGTGAAAGCACCGGCCCTTCTTTAAAGGTTCTCCTGCCCTACCAAGCATGTCTGAGCTAGTTAATAAAAGTCTGCCGAGAGTCACCCACTGCATAGCAAGCACATGAGGTCGAGATTGTCACCGTGGAAACGTGAGATAGCAAGCACCTGTTCCTTCCCTGCAGAGGGGCGACCGAGGCCCGGCCTCTAGGGAAGGTGTAGCGATTCCTTGGAGTGTCATCGGCTGCCAGATTCAACCCAACACAAAGAGCCGCATCTCGTACAACCATCAAGCTCCTGCTCAGCTCTGCAGGCAAACGATGTCAACCAACCATTGAACAGAGCTGATGGTGCTGGTACAAATGCTTACCATGCGAGATTTTAAATCGGGAGAACTTGGAAGTAGTAACTCAAAAACCCCAATCAGCCAATTCTGAAGAAACCAGAAACAAACATATGAGGTTATAATGCAAACACGCTAGGCCAGAAACATACTGTGCAAGTACACAAATGGGAATGCTTGGTCGACACGTTGCATTATGCTGATTGTTTTGGTCTGGTGGTAAAACGGTTTCAAGTGGAGTTACTTTCAGATGTGAAACAGATTATCTTTACTTACCTTATTCTGGAGGACGTTTACCTGCCTAATAGCGATGCCAAGATCAAGGGTGCAATTCCTAAGTAATGCACATACTGATACATTACATTCCTTGAATGCTAAATGAATAATGTACGGTTAACTCCATTGACCTCGCCATGACATCCAAACCTGGAATACGGTTCAAACGCAAATCACTACAAATCTACAGCAGACAAAACAAGGATCATTTTTGGTGTTAAGCTACAGTACATCACAATAACATTTAGCTCATCATTCAAAGCTAAAAGACAGAAGGCAATTGTTTGGATAAAATGACGTATAGTCACACAAAGTTTAATAGAGATTAAATGTATATTTGTGCTGTTGTTTGGATGGGCCACAAGTATCTCATATAGCACCCAGCTTAGGTTCTGAATGAAACCTATAAAATCTCACAGCTTCCACATTATGTAAAATGTAGTTCTGTTCGTATCATTTCAGCCGTCTATTGCATTCTAAATATTAGTGTGTCACATAGTTTAATAATTCATATTTCCTCATTGCTTAATGTTTAATAACCAACCACTGCCTGAGTGCTATGGAAAGAAAATAAAAAAAATTTCAATTCTGTTGTCTAACATACTTGCAAGTACTGTACAACAGAATTCTGAATGAGATTTTTTTTCCCCTGTTGGAAACTGACTGAATCACGAGAAGGGAGAGTTACGCAAAACACTGGAGTGAGGTGGTTTAAAGGGGAGGGAAATGTGACGTCAGCTGAGAGAGATAGCAAAATCATTACACTTTGATAAAAATGATGAAGACAAATTGCTTTTTTTTGGAATAACATGCCCGACCAGACCAGGAAATGTGCATTAAGAAGCCCATTTGGATTTCAGTGCTTCTCAAGCATAAACATCACAAATAACAAGATACTAAATGCTGGTTATTATATCTGTTGTAGAAAACGAAGCGTTTGAGAGAGGCGGGGCATAGAGGACCTACAATAATGTACAGTATTTGAAAAATAATGTGTGTTTTGAACATTAAAGCATGTCAACATATTCTGTTACACCAAATACACAAAATAATGATCTTTAAAAAAGCATCATATGACCCCTTTAATACAAAAATAATCTGTCTCAGTAGCAATAAAAATTACTACAATTATTATACACATATAAAAAGTCTGTCTCATGTAATGATAAATTCTGAACCTAAAATCACTGGACTGGAGAGAAAAGATCAGTGCAAGACCTTTAATTCAACAGGGCATCCCCTAGAAAAGAGTTGATCTATGTCCAGCCAACAAATGTAAACCAATAAATCATCATAAAAAAGTGGATATTGCCATAATTTTACATCAATAAAAAAAATACATAAATACATGCATGGCAGTCTGAATAGTTTTTTTGCAGGAGAAATGAACTAAGCTATAAAAAATAACATTACGGTATGTTCTTACATTTTGCAAAAGGACGGGTTACTCTGTAATTTCAGACTTTTCATCAGAAAAGACAGACTCCCTCCACAGTCCCATCCATTGTGCTTTTATAAAAATGGGAAATATGAATTCTAAACGTATGCACTTGATGTTCTTGATTCATACGCGTTACTGGACAACATTGTAGCAACACACCGGCATATATGAATGAGCCTGCAGCGAGCATAACAGGGTTGACGCTTGCAGAATCCAGTTAACGTCCTATCCGACGAAAAATAATGCATGTCACTGCAAACCTCTAGTTATATATGTATTCATGCAAAGCTAGCGTCTGATCATTGCGTGCCAGTTGTGCAAGCCAGTTCTCCAAATGTGTCTCGTCACACATCGGAGTTGAGGCTGAGGTTGGCTAGCTGCGGGTCAGAGTTGATCTCGTATCTGTAATGGTATCCCTCCATATGATCTCTGCACGCGTCACGGATATTGTACATCCACCCCTTGATCCCTTTCCTGTTAAGGTAAAGGACCAGAAGGAAGATGACCCCAATGAGGGCAAGAACCATCCCCAAGAACACATAGGAGGGCTCCAGCACACGGTCCATCGCGTCTCCGGCGTTGCTCCAGCACGAGAGCTGTGATTGTATCAGGGTTAAAAGTGGGGCATTTTTTAGTCTAGCCGGGTCAGAACAGGTTAGGTTGAATCTGTCTATCACAAACTCATGTTTCGCCAACCAAATCAACATGTCCTCAATATTGCAATCACAGCGCCAGGGGTTTCCCGCGAGTCTGACTCGCAAATCAGGGATCGAACTGAGCTCCTCTAGGGTCACGTTGGGCAGGACTTTCAACGCGTTGTCTCGTAAGTCTATCTATCTATCTATCTATCTATCATGTGTAAGGTATGCCCCGTAAGCCCCGCCCCCACTGCGCTGACGCAAGAGACGGGACTCCCTTGCCAGCTCGCCATGACACTAGCAACCAGCATACAGTGGAGTCCGTCAAACAAGCCATCTGCGATTATCATAACTAACGTGAGAGTTTCCATTAAAATAAGACGTATGTTTGTTTGTGTCTCAAGCGCAAACTGTGAAGCGCTTTTTACTCGCCGAGCCGTCCAATGACAAATAACGATACAAGTCTGCAAGTTGAACTGTCCAATGAAATGTGAGGACGCGTGTCCGATGGGCCAATCAGAATTCGTTTTGCTCGTGCGTCTCCACTCCTAGCACTTACTTGACCGACTAGCTCTGCAGCAGCATATTTACTGTAAAACATCAGGTTTAAAGATGTTTCTGTGGATCTGCCGCATTTGGGAGAACACAAACATGGCCTTTTCTTTCATCTAGCGTCAGGTGAGCGAGCGATATTAGCGCTTTGTCCTTTAATCCGGCAGTGTTTGAGTACATAGTTCAGCCCGGTATGGTTCATTAATATGATGATGTGTCAGTCACTCGACAGTACACACTTCATTACAGACTTAACTCAATATTAAGTGATATACACGATCGGCTCGCGCGATAATGAGTCGAGTATTTCCTCTGGACATTACAGCTCGAGTGTCGCTTGATTGTCAGTGTTATATGTCCCTGACTGACATTACATTCAGAGAGAGAGAGAGGTGGGAGGCAGGGCTGTCCACTATCACCGACCCTCTTCAATATCTACATTAATGAACTAAAATACTCAAAATATTCCAATCAGTCATAGAACCTATTGTAGCACGAATTTAATTGAATTTAATTGAATTGAGAGACAGAGAGAGAGAGAGAGAGAGAGAGAGAGAGAGAGAGAGCGCCTCCAGATGTAAACAAACGGTTTCAACTAACTTATTTGAGCATTATTCATTTAAAGTTTAGAATTTTAGCTGTAGGCTGACAAAATGATCATTAAAATCCAGAAACTGATGCAGTAAGACTGAAGTATTGGGAAGGTGTCAAGCTACAAGTGCAGCACTTCATAATGTTTCTTCAACTATGTGATCTTTTTGTCATTAAGTAACATATTTCACCTTTTTTGGATTGTTTTGGGAAGGTGACATTAAAACTGGCTTGAAAAGTTTACATCATTCAGTCATCTTAAACTGATGCTTTTTTTGTATATATTTTATTGTTTGACCCGACCTAATCTTAAGATATGACCATCCATTATATATATATATTTAAAATATTAGATAACTACGATAATCCGAACAAAATTAGTAGACAAACTACAGAGTTTAAAAGTAGTTTTTAATTATTATTTTTTTATTTCAAGCAGTCTACAAAGTGTCCATGATTAAAGAAACATCCAGTTATGTTATTGATAATTTTGCGTAATTAAATTCGAACTAATCTGAGTGCTTAATTTGGTTTATTATTAATTTTCAGCCTAGTCTAGTCATGAATAAAGGCACAACAGAAGCACTTTGTTGGATCGGGTAAATTCTGCAATTTAATTGCCATTTTGTTGGGAATGTTGTTTAGTGAAGTTGATATTAATGCGCCATGCTTTCTTTCCAGGCACCTTTTGCAATTATGGAGGCTTAAGTGGTGGAGCGTTTTGGGGGGAAGGAGCCTTTCCCCTCAAAGTTGGTGGACTCTTGAATGGACAGTACAGGCTTTGCCTATAGACAGATTACAATCTAACTTATTTTGGAGAAAACTGGAATATATTTGTATGTTTTTGTACAGAAAAATTCGTATTTTCTTTGATGCCGATGATTGTGCCAAAGGTTTTGTGGAAAGTGTTGCTGACATGGTGGATTGAGATGAGCTAGATCTTCACTCTTGGGGCCGCTAGGGTGCCGTGGAACCTCAACACATGCACAAGTCTAGCGCCCTGATTTCCCACTTGAACATATTCCCACTTTTTTGTGTTGTTTTCCTTAATTTATTGCAGTAATTTGAGAAATTAATTCTATGTTAGTCTGAGAAATTTAAGCACGAGCTTGTGGGTGTAGAGGGTGTTTTGGGCTTTTTGGGGTTGTAAGTTAGCGGGTGGGAAACTAAGATGAGTCTGGGAAGCCCAGACTGCACACCTAAGTGCCGCTCTGTGAGGCACGCAGAGGAAGTGATTGCCGCTTTGACCAGCGGCTCGGAGGGCAGTCTGCAGGGCTTTCTGTCCGTCCACTGTCACAATGCAGCTACCCTGCGGGACGAGTTTGGGCGCACGGCTCTGCACCTCGTGGCCTCTCTGGGAAAGTGTGATCTGCTTCAGTGGCTCCTGGACAACAAACATGCCGACATGCTGGCGAAGGACAAGGAATCTGGGTGGACCGCACTGCATCGCAGCGCCTTCTATGGACAAATTCACTGCCTCATGGGGCTCATCAAGGTGAGACTAATATGAGCTTTTCATTGACCAATATCAATATAATGTTTAGAGAGAAGGGTGCCTGATGTGATGTACACCACTGGCCAAAAGTTTGGAAGAATTAAGATTTTTTTGAAAGAAGTCTCTTCTGCTCACCAAGGCTGGATTTATTTGATCAGAAATACAATAAAAACAGTAATACTGTGAAATATTATTATAATTTGAAATAACTGTTTTCTATGTGAATTTCCAGCATCATTACTCCAGTCTTCAGTGTCACATGATCTTCAGAAATCAGTATAATATGCTGATCTGCTGCTCAAGAAACATTTCTGATTATTATCAATGTTGAAAACAGTTTTTACTGTTATTGATCAAAAGTGACACGCTTCAAAATATTAATATTTTAAATAAATGCTGTTCTTTTGAACTTTCTATTAATCAAAGAATCACAACATTTTTTAAAAATACATCCTTGATAAAGTTAAATGACGTGCACAAAATTTAATTGTGAATTATTTTGGTGCTGCTAGAGGCACAGTAACGGCACACTTCACCTTTTAATATATTAATTAAAAACACAAAATGTGCTTTTTTTCATCCAAATCTGTTTTTTTTTTTAAATATCATAATAGTGATAGACTACTTCTGTTAATTTGGCCAAGTGGGTATTATAGTTATGGGTTAATAATCTCCAAATGAGCAAATAATGCCTGATTAAAGGTAGGGTAGGCGATTTCAGAGAGGCGATAGCAAGCTGGCTTTGAAAGCATAAGATCCCACCCTCCCTGCAAATCACTCTCCAAAGCCACGCCTCCTCCAAAACACATGAACACACACAGGCAGAGCAGAGGCTAACCAGCGACACGATGAGAGACGGCGTTGGTAGAGGGTTGAATGTAACTCTGTCAGATTACCTCATATCTCATTTACCGGTGAGAAAACATTACAGTACAAAGCACATAATATTATAATAATGACGCCTTCCATTCTCGCTCGGTCTGTAATCGCGTAATAGAACGCGCTGATGGCGTATCATGTCTGTGCGATCAGGTAGAACAGCCTATCACAGCCCTCGGACCAAGGGATATGATTGGACGAGCATTTTTTGGTCCCAAGCCTTCCACAGACGATATAAATAAATTTAGACCACTTAGCTTAGTGATTGCTTTCGGGATGCAAAGAGACTTTCAGCCAGCATAACGGAAAATGTTTTGGAACCATATTAATTGGCCTGGGTGATACATGAGTCAATCACTGTTGAAAACTACTGCAGATTTTGAAACCCGGTGGACTGTGGAACGCGAGTCACCAGAACAGCTTTATCTTTTCCTCCCCATTCCATTGGTTTAATGGTTTATGTCTTTCATTGCACCGTGTTTATATGTTTGTGTTCCAGCGTGGTGGAGCACTGTCCATCCAGGACAAGGAGGGTCTTTCGGCCCTAGACCTCACCATGAAGGACCGCCCAGCTCACGTAGTGTTCAGAAACACTGGTAAATATGGATTCATTTCCTTATTAATATTTAAGACTGTACCAGTGCTAAAGAAGTATCTGTGATAACTATTAAATGAGTTGCTCAACTTCATATGAAAATTTTGTCCTCATCCATCCTTATATCATTCTGTGCCTGCATGACTTTTTTCAAAAGTGAATTTTCCCTTCTTGCATATTCACACTTGACACATAACATCTAGTTATGAGACATGTCAGAACCAATAGCGTTTGTTAGTTGCATTGATCAGTCAAAATTAAGTTTTCGTCTCCATGCTCCAAGTTTGAATATGTGTTCGTGTGAATGAAATGATTGAATGACAGTCTCATAGTACTCTTGTTGTTTTTGAGGCTATGTAGCCCCTCTTCACGGAGTCAAATGAGGGTTTGTAATGACATGATGGCAAATAAATGAGAGAATGTTTGTTTTTGGCTTAAACCTTAAATCATTAAAACAAAGATTGCCCCTCACCAATCCACTTGTTAAGTCTGACATCAGCATTTCTGGATCCAAGCACACTATCAGATCCCAGAAGCAAACAACAAACGGTGCTTTTATACACTCACGGTGTGCTGTAATACAGCTTAGTCAGGTTAGACACCATATTGAGATGAAAATGATTGATTGTATTATCGCTTGAAGAGTAGAGACTTGGACCTGGAAACAGTATTTGTTACCTCACAACTTAAACACAAGCACATAACTCGCTTTGTTGATCTGATCTCATCGCAGACCCTACTGAAGTGTACACTTGGGGAAGCAACACAAATTTTAGTCTGGGACATGGAAACCAGGAGAGCAGACACCATCCTGAGATTGTGGACCTGTTTTCAAGGTCTAGGATCTATGTGAAGCAGGTAAATGTTGTTCAGGGTTAAACTTCATGTAGTTTTTTTTTTCATGTAGTTTCTTTTTAGACTTTATTTTAAGCATTCATTTTTGTTCCTTTTTATTATTATTTTTTAATCAGTTCAATCAGGGCTGTAACCACCATAGACATTGAGGGGAACAAGTCCCCCCAATAATTAGAAATGGCCAAACTCCATTACGCAGCGCTTTGTTTGTTAGTATGACAAAAAGATTTAAAAGTTATGTTTTCAGTCTGGTCTGCCTCAGCGGTCTGACAGCGCTCGTCAGTGTCAAAACGATTGAGATGACCAATCAAATCAAAGTGGGTGGGGTTTACTGTTGACAGAAGCAGAGCGAGAATTCCAGCACAAAGCATAATTTTTAACCTTGAAAGAGAGCGAGGTAAGTGATGGAAGGAGCAAATCATTTAATATTTGACTGCTGTTTTATGATAGAAATGTTGAACAACCAACAGTAATATCCAGGGATGCAAACTACTTGACTTTGAAATGTGGTTGTCCTGTTATCATTTACATGATTCATGCAATTCCTAAATGAATGTGACGAAACAAGAAATGTTTTGCGCTTTTGACATATTAGGCATACAAATAAAAGTACATGCGTTTAAAATATTATTTGCAAATAGTTCAAAATGATTACTTACTAACTTGAATTGCACCAACAAATTCCTTCACTATTTCTTTATGATTTATTAACCCCCCCCCCAAAAAAAAATACAAAGAAACCACAATACAGTAAAATATAATTACAGAAAAAAAAAGCATTAGAAAAAGTCACAAAGAATGAAATAACCACCCAGATCTAATAAACACTAATAAGCCATTCCACAACTTAGGTGCATCAACTGAGAATAGTTAATAATATTTTTTTTACTGCAGGTTTTCATCTTCAGAAACTTTTATTGATCATATTTTTGATGTTGTCACTACTAACTTTCTTCATCATTTTACTTCTATTTGGATTCATTTCTGCTGATGAGGCACATAGTGTTATTAAATCCTCATCTGCAATGCAATTCCTTGGGGTTTGTGCGAGCTAGCAGTGCCTAAAACTCCCCAGGGTTACGTGTGACAATAAAAGAGGACGGTAAAAGCAGAGGACCTGCAAGTGTTGCCTTGATAACAGGCTCCTCACAGGGAACCTCCTTCAAAACAGAAATCTCCAAGGGTCCCTGCAAACCATCCGAGGAAACTGGGACCTCTTTGTTACTCTATAAATTGTTCTTGAAGATGCCCTTGAGGATGAAAACTATGTTCTTGTTGGTGGAGAGAAGCTCTTTGTGCTGGAACTCATGCAACTAAGGTTTTTGAAAATAGGCTAATTTTCCAACTCCCCTAGAGTTAAACAGTTGAGTTTTACCGTTTTCGAATCCATTCAGCCGATCTCCGGGTCTGGCAGTAGCACTTTTAGCTGTAGCTTAGCATAGATCATTGAATCTGATTAGACCGTTAGCATCTCGCTCAAAAATGACCAAAGAGTTTCTATATTTCTCCTATTTAAAACTTGACTCTTCTGTAGTTACATCTTATACTAAGACTGACGGAAAATGAAAAGTTGTGATTTTCTAGGCCGATATGGCTAGGAACTATGCTCTCATTCCGGCGTAATAATCAAGGAACTTTGCTGCCGTACCATGGGTGCAGCAGGCGCAATGATATTACACAGCGGCCTAGAAAATCGCAGCTTTTCATTTTCCGTCGGTCTTAGTACACGATGTAACTACAGAAGAGTCAAGTTTTAAATAGGAGAAATATAGAAACTCTTTGGTCATTTTTGAGCGAGATGCTAACGGTCTAATCCGATTCAATGATCTATGCTAAGCTAAGCTAAAAGTGCTGCCGCCAGACCCGGAGATCGGCTGAATGGATTCGAAAACGGTAAAACTCAACTGTTTAACTCTAGGGGAGTTGGAAAATGTGCCTAATTTCAAAAATAGTGTAGTGTTCCTTTAAAGACCAACTCATGCCAACATCATGCATTAACACCGTATAAGTTTCCATTTTTCCGTGGTCATAGCGGAGACTCATTTGCATTTCGGATGGATAACCAACATGTGCTTATATGTGGATGGGAAATGTGATCCAGTTGTGTTGCATGATCCCATTGTCAGCCTTTCATTTAGGATTTGGGCATTTTTGAAAGGAGAAGCCCCAAGTGGTTAAGGGGTGATCAAAATGAGTGTGTTAAGCCAAATCTCTCAGCCGTTTAGGAGGATGGAAAGCTTCTAGAGATGCATCTTAGCCTTGAGAAGACACTTCAGCAATGCATTTAATTTTTTATTGTTAAGTCGGTGTGTGTACTTACATTCGGCTAATTAATTTCTGAAGTGCAGGGCAGTCCTTTAATTTTGCACTGCTCATTGTGATGCCGGATCTTGTTTCCTGACCCATTCATCGGCACTCCAATGCCCCCTTACATGGAAAGAGAGTGCATTGTGACCCGCCACTCTATTCTGCAGATGCTTTCAGTTAAATATTAAAATATTAATTCAGGATAACAGCAGCAGATTAAATAAGCGTTGCGAATACGTGCGTACGGCAGCGAGTGAGAGCGGCTGCAGATCATCTCTTGCTTCTGTTTCAGCCTTGAGGAGTGTGTTAAATTAGTGATGATGTTGACCTTGGCACCCCTGCTCCGTTGTAGTCGACTCCGAGCCAATCCAGAGCTGGCATGCTTTGCAGAGAAAGGGCAGAGCTGTCATGGCTAAAAGTCAAGCCCTTGTGATGAGCAGAACGCAGCTGGTTCTTTCTGGCCTGCAGTCATTCTGTCCAGGTCTCATTTCTTAATCGACCAATAATAGCATGTTTAAAGTGGCCTCTAAAGTATTTGCTGCACCAAAAGATGCCTAAATGTTGTTGTGTTAGATGTTCTTGCAAAAATGGCCCTGAAGAGTGAAACTGGTTCTGAGAAAGAGATCTTTCTGGGGGGTTTTCTTTCGTTTTGCAGATGCCTCTTGCTTTGGTGTTTTTGCAGTGACTTTTGACCAGCTTGTCTCGAAGGTTGTGTCTAAAGCAGCCGAATCAGTCAGTGACTTAGTAGTGTGTTTGCGTGTATGAATTTCAATTGACCTCCCAAGTAAACTGATTTCACACCGACTAATGATCTTGATCAAATGTTTAATGACTTTCTTTGTAACACAGAATCATACGATGAAATCATAAAAAAAAGATGGGTCAGTTTCTTTCAGCTGATCCACTAACATTACTATTTAAAAGTTTGGGGTCAGTAAGAATATTTTCTTTTTCTTTTTTTTGTTGTTGCAAGAAATGTATCATTTTATTAAGCAGTAATGCAATTTAATTAATCAAAAGTGACAGTGAAGACATTTATAATGTTATAAAACTTTACTGTTTCAAATAAACTTTGTTTATTTGAACTTTCTATTCATCAAATAATTTATCCAGAAAAATGTAGCACATTTTGCACAAAAAAATAGGCAGCATAACTCTTTTCAACATTGATAATAATCATGAAGACTGGTGTAATGATGCTGAAAATTCAGCTTTGATCACAGAAATAAATTACAGTTAGAATATATTCACATAGTAAACAGTTATTTTCAATTGTAATAATATTTCACAATATTATTTGATTAAATAAATGCAGCCTTGGGCTCATAAGATGGACTTACTGAGCCAAAAAACGAATTGTCATGTAGCCTTTTATTGTTTATCAGTTCTATCTTTGTTTTGCTTTTTGAAAGTACAATTATTGTTTTATCTCAAACCAAACATGATTATATTTTTGAAATGTTTGGCTGGAAAAGTGTTTGTGCTACGTAAGTGTGGCTTAAGCGTGCAAATATAATACAACAATACAACAATGTCCGTAAACTCGAACATAAAATTGAATGATTATTGCAACATTGCTGTGTTTTTGTGTCTGTTCAGGTGGTGTTGTGTAAGTTCCACTCGGTCTTCCTGTCCCAGAAGGGTCAGGTGTACACATGTGGACATGGACAGGGTGGACGACTCGGGCATGGTGATGAACAGACATATCTGGTGAGACACTTTGGTGTGGGTTGACGCATATGTTTCTGCATCTGCTGTCTTTCTAAGTCTTGGTGTCCACGTTCATATCAAAGGTTCCCCGGATGGTGGAGGGGCTTTTGTCCCATCACTGCTCTCAGATCGCAGCGGCCCGAGATCACACTGTTGTTCTGACAGAGGAGGGGTACGTCTACACCTTTGGACTCAACACTCACCATCAGCTGGGCCTGGCACCTCCTCCTGCTTCCAGCCAAGTTCCCAAACAGGTCGGACAACCTGGTCTTATGTGTGACACGCAGTTTCACAAAACTAGTGATGCACCAAAATGAAAATTCTGGATGCACTTGGCCGAAAATAAATTTAATTTAGTAGTAAATTAATGAATCAATTGTATTTAATAATCATCTCTCAGATAAAAGCTGAGTTGTACAAACATTTAAACTGCACATAAGGCAGTTTTTTTTAATGTTAGTTTTTAATAACAGAATTATGTTTCTACTCCAATTTGTTGCTGAAGTCTTGTGTTCTGTAATAACTTGTTTTCATGACTGATTCATTCAGACATACATTAAATACACGTTTACCTGTTGTACTGTAGTTTATTCTCATTTTGTCATTGTTGCTGTGAATGATTACAGCACTCCAATACTATTTCTTCCAAAACCGAAAACTGCTTTTTCGGCTAAATATTTTCGGTTGCCGAAAGTTTGAGGCATCACTACCATGAACTCTAGGTAATCCCATAAATTGCATTTTTTTGTGTTAATTTCTATGGACCACAGGTCACCTCTAAGTCCCTGAAAGGGAGGTCCGTGATTGGTGTTGCAGCCGGCAGGTTCCACACTGTTCTTTGGACCCGAGATGCGGTGTATACCGTAGGATTGAATGGTGGCCAGCTTGGTAAGCTGCTCGAGCACCCAGATCTGTTTATCACATACAAACAAACAGATTGTTTAACTGATCTAAAGTCTCTCAGGTGTTTAGCAAATCCTCTTCATGCAATTTCATCAGAGCGTCTGCTTCATTTGCCTCTTCCCATATGAAAACTTGTGGTCCAACCGTTGTGATACATTCAGGTTACCTACTGGAGCCCAACGGAGAGAAGTGCGTGACGGTTCCTCGACAGGTGTCTGCTCTGCACCACAAGGATGTGACCATCGCTATGGCAGCAGCGAGCAATGGGGCCACCGTGTGCGTGACCGAAAAGGGAGATGTGTACCTGCTGACAGATTATCAGTGCAAGAAACTGGCATCCAAGTGAGTGGAGTTACATGTAGGAGACTCGAGTCATTATCTTGTCTCAGCGATCCAGATTTTGTTCAATATAACCAGAAAACTGATCTCATTGCACACCATCTAAAATATTGTTTTAGTCATTCTGAAATGCCTGAGCCAAAGTCTGTCATCAAAATGATTTGGCTTAATTACTTCGTCTCGCACGATTGCGTCAAGCATCCGAATGCTAGATAACATGACAGCGTTTGTTTGTCATTTCGTCTGCACGCTCTAAGGCACAATTAATTTGTTATGTAGGAAACAAGAGTCGCAGGCTTGTTGAAGCAACTTTTTATTGTCTTATCAGTGTTTCCCGTGGACCACGCCCCCTTCCCCCTGGTGGTTAAACCTCCTCACCCCAAGAATCACATGCACTCAAACTCAGAATTAATTTTATTTTAACTAAAAAAGACAAGTAAACAGTAAGTAATAAAATAAGAACAAATAATAATAATTATTAAATATAATAATTAAATTACAAACAATAGCACAAACAAAAACAATAACAAGATACAAATGAAATTAACAGTACTTTAAGTTTTCCAGGTAGGTCTAACAGTAATATTTATATACAGAATTACTGCTGAAACTGAATTCAACTGTAAAAAACACCGGATAGGTTTATTTAGGCTGCTGTCACTTTAAGACCTCATGCATGGATCTAATATACTGTTACACGTGTGTTTTGCTTCTCACCGGTTTACATTCAGGGGGCGTGTTAGAACGAGCCGTTTTAGGGGGGCGTGGCAGAGTCTTAACTTTGATAAAGAATATCTCTTTGGTTTTGAGACTTTAGTCTTTGCAACTTCAGGGATCTTATCTATGCACAATCAGCTTGTAACACTCCAAAGAGAAAGGAAAACTTGAAATTGTATCATATGACCCCTTTAATAGCCTACATACCAACTATGTTTAATATAAACCAACTGTGTTTAGGCAGTCTTTGCAACTTCAGGGATCTTATCTATGCACAATCAGCTTGTAACACTCCAAAGAGAAAGGAAAACTTGAAATTGCATCATATGACCCCTTTAATAGCCTACATACCAACTATGTTTAATATAAACCAACTGTGTTTAGGCGAATATTCACCAAGACGGGCATTTTGACATAATTTTTTATGTATTTGGCTGTTTACACGCAATAAGACGCAAAACATAACTGAATTATGTAGTTGCGCGCGGTTTCAGAGGAGACTTTAAGTGTGCGTGATTTAGATGTGGGCGCATTGAAAACAGTCTATAAGAGGGGGAATGTGATTTCAACATGTTCCTTGATCAACATCCTTGTTGATCCTGGAACAACGTCCCAATCAACCAATCAGATTTGAGGAACAAGTTTACTGGAAATGTCAGTTTTAGGCTTACAACCAGGGTTAAGGCAGCACAACACCCCTGTTATTCAGCTGTTATTTCCCTCTGATTTTAGGGATAAGTTATGGGGTTAGGTCTATGTTTTTGGACGGTAATGTTGTCCCAGGATCAACAAAAGATAGTGATCCAGGAACATGTCTGACTTGCCAAAATCATAGCGACCCTATAAGAGAGCGTGCGAGTACTGTATTGAGTTCTCTTTTGCATTTTTTTGCACTTGAATTGCTTAAAGTCGCTTGGATGTTTAGATTGGCAAGACTTAAAAGCACGTGCCTCTGTCATCACGTTCTAAGCGCGGAACCTGCGGGAATGAGGAGAATTATGTACAATACCCGGTGCAACCGCGCTGATATTCAAGCCCTGCTCAAGTCTCCTCCACTAATTCCTCGACTGTGAATTATGTGAGTGGCGTCACTATGATGTCACTGAGAAGCTGCTGCCGTGGCGGGGATTATTTTTGGTGTGGCGGCCCGCCACGGCAGAATGAATGTAGCTGAAACACTGTTTATTACTGATACTCTGCGCCAGTTTCCCTGGAAGTGATGATTTTGTTCTCTTGAACACATGAGATGGAAATGGTGCTTTATGCGCAAATGTTTAATGCAATATTATACTTTTTTAATTCACAGCTTTGGTTGAAAACATAGCTGCTGCTAACACTGTCCTTGTGTTGTTCCCAGGCAGCTGAACCTGAAGAAAGTTCTAGTGAGCGGTGGTAGTTTGGATCATCGTATTGATCCTCAGCTCCTGCACGATGGTGGAGGAGAGAAGCTGGTGATTTTGGCTCTAGATGAAGCTGGGAGGGTGAGTTATATGCGACACTGATCTGAACTTCAATCTCATAAGTACTCATACAAATCAGAAACAGTAATAGGATCAAAATATAAATATAACAAAGTTTAAGATAAGCTTGGATCAAACCCAAAACCGTAATCAACTGATCTGTCCTAATCATACAAATACCGTTTTTTTCCTTTCCTTAAAAATGCTCATGAGGGAATGTCACAATGCATGTTTTAAAAATATCTGTTCTTTTACTGAAAGAGAGAGTCTATCTCTTGAGTCAAGTGAAGATGCTGTCATTATATTCACAGGGGGAACATCAGTGTTCAAGTGAACACACCATCAGTCTCACACTTACATGAATATAGCTACTAAAAGCAACATTTCTAACTTTTCTCTGTAGCTGTAAAAGCTTGTTTCTAAAATAATTTTATCAAAAGTGCTTACGTTAATCACATGAAGTGACTTGACAAACATTCAGTGCAGTTCACCATCATCGGAAAACTTTCATCTGAACTAGAAGAAGTATAAAGATGTTTGTGGTCTACATTACAGTTATATCTAATGCTGTGTTTCCTAATATTATCACCTAAAGTACAAGAACAACAAAGGGCCTGAGACCGAGCCTTGTGGCACACCATATTTTGCCATAGTTAGGTCAGGCAGATTTTCATTTACACAAATGAAGTGGTAGCGATCTGACAGGTAGGAGCTAAACCATTTTAGCTACTTATCAAGTTTCCAAATAGTGTTTCGTTTTTATTGCTGATGTTTTCCCCCTATAATATATGGTGACTTCCAGCTATCTGGTTATAAAGTCTGTCTAACCAAGATGTTCAGTCTTGTGGATCTGTGCGTGCCTGATAAAAGGCTATCAGCTGGACCAGCCCAGTCAGTGGAAGGGGGTCCAAGTTGGATTTAGTCATGCTTAACGATTTTGCATTTTCACAGAGTAAATACCAGTGTGCTTCTTATATCTATGTATTTTAAAACACATGGTTTTTATATAATAAAAGCTTCTTAATTTGATGCTGGCATTTGTTTTGCCAAGCATGTCTTCCTAAATGTCTGGTAATATGCCAGAGTTATTTGCTTTTATATCTTTACAGCTCGTCACTCCATCTGTTTATTAAATGCCTGCCTTAGCAAACACCATCATTTTTGCTATTGCTCATAAGGGGTTTGAACAAACCCTGGTCCCTCTAATCACGTTGCTTATTTGTTTGATGAGAGGTTCACTACTCCTTTTTCTGAGTAAGTCTGACTTAAGATTTTCTGTGATGTGGAGAATGCAAACGGAATTTTGGAATCCAGTCATAAAAATAGAATTTGCTGTATAATGTGGAATGCCATGGAATTTGGTATATTTTGGATGATTAAATCAAAAGTAGAGGAGTGCATTTAATCAAATTGTGATTTGATTAAAATTCAAAGACTTCACGTAATACGTAATTACGTTGAAAAGGTCACGTTTGACGTAGGCGGAAGGTAGGTTTCAAAAGATTTAAACATCCAGGATACGCACACGAAGTGACCATTTTAAACGATAAACTGACACAAAGACACTGGAATGTGTGTTATTGAACATACAACAACTTTTGAACGGTCCTCCTTCTCCACATTTGTAAACACTGAGTTGGTACTTCCGCCTACGTCAAGCGTGACCTTTTCAACGTAATTATGTATTACGTGAAGTCATGGGCGCGGATCGCAGAGCAGTGCAAGGCGCGCATTTTTGTTTATAAAGCATTTACTTTTTTTTTAGAAAATGACTGGTCGTTTCACTAGATAAAGACCCTTATTCCTCGTCTGGTATCATGTAGAGCCCTTTGAAGCTGCACTGATTGATTAAAATTCAAAGACTTCACGTAATACGTAATTACGTTGAAAAGGTCACGTTTGACGTAGGCGGAAGGTAGGTTTCAAAAGATTTAAACATCCAGGATACGCACACGAAGTGACCATTTTAAACGATAAACTGACACAAAGACACTGGAATGTGTGTTATTGAACATACAACAACTTTTGAACGGTCCTCCTTCTCCACATTTGTAAACACTGAGTCGGTACTTCCGCCTATGTCAAGCATGACCTTTTCAACGTAATTATGTATTACGTGAAGTCATGGGCGCGGATCGCAGAGCAGTGCAAGGCGTGCATTTTTGTTTATAAAGCATTTACTTTTTTTTAGAAAATGACTGGTCATTTCACTAGATAAGACCCTTATTCCTCGTCTGGTATCATGTAGAGCCCTTTGAAGCTGCACTGAAGTGTTATTGAACATACAATTACTTTTGAACGGTCTTCCTTCTCCACATTTGTAAACACTGAGTTGGTACTTCCGCCTACGTCAAGCGTGACCTTTTCAACGTAATTATGTATTACGTGAAGTCATGGGCGCGGATCGCAGAGCAGTGCAAGGCGCGCATTTTTGTTTATAAAGCATTTACTTTTTTTTTAGAAAATGACTGGTCGTTTCACTAGATAAAGACCCTTATTCCTCGTCTGGTATCATGTAGAGCCCTTTGAAGCTGCACTGAAACTGTAATTTTGACCTTCAACCGTTTGGTAACCATTGAAGTCCACTATAAGGAGAATAATTAATTTATTTTCGACTGAAGAAAGAAAGGCGTAAACATCTTGGATGACATGGGGGTGAGTAAATTATCAGGAAATTTTAATTTGAAAGTGAACTAATCCTTTAAAAAGTATGTAATTTAAAAATCAGAATATAGGAAAAAATAAAACTGATTTCATAGAGCCATACAAATTAAAATTTTTTATTAAACTTTTAATACATTTTTGTTAAAGAATTAGTTCACTTCCAGAATAAAAAATGTACTGATAATTTACTCACCCCCATGTCATCCAAGATGTTCATGTCTTTCTTTCTTCAGTCACAAAGAAATTAAGGTTTTTGAGGAAAACATTCCAGGATTTTTCTCCATATAATGGACTTCAATGGGGATCAAGGGGTTGAAGGTCCAAATTGCAGTTTCAGTACAGCTTCAAAGGGCTCTACACGATCCCAGCTGAGGAATAAGGGTCTTATCTTGTGAAATAAATAGAGAATACAGAAAAAAAAAAAGTAAATCAATAAATAAAATAAAGCACAATTTCATAAGGCCTTATTTTTTGCCTGTGTTTTGACTTGAGTCTGTAAGGCACCTTGCAACTACTCAGAACACATTAGCAACCATTTACCTGGTATTGTATTCATTATATTCATATTCCTGCTTTCTTATCTCTGTCTTTCTCTGATGTTTCAGGTGTTTTGTTGGCGCTCTATGGGCACGTCAGTGAGGCAGTGTCGCTGGGCATACGGCCGACAGGTCTTCATGTCAGACATCGCCCTGAGTAAGAACAGCATGATGTTTGTTACTCAGGATGGAGAGGGCTTCAGTGGCCAGTGGCTGGGCCAGTACAAGAAAGCTGTAGACAAAAAAGGTATTGAGGCCATCAGTTTAACTCTAAATATGTTATAAATAAAATAAAATTTCTAACTAGATAGGAAGGACCCGTGACTTATGAATGCTCTGTTGTGTCAGATGGCGTGGAGGTGTCCGGTCACTCAGATGGAGGGGGTGTTTATGAACGAATCCGTCTGGAGAAGCTTCCTTACGTCCACAGAGCCGTCAGCATCACCATGGATTCGAAGGGTCGGAATTTCGGAGTGCTGCAAGCTGATCCTAAAACCAGGTGCAGATAATGATGATTACTAACAAGGGCACAGATGTTTGTGACTAAATGACGTTTGGAATGTTGGAGTCTTAACATTTCTGGCTTTCAGTGTCACTGAATAGTCCCAGTTCCTTCTGATCAAAGTTGTTTACTATACAAAAGTAAAGGAAAAATGTCCTTGGAATCAAACACTGATTTTTTTTTTGTGTGTAAATTACCATGAATTACTTGCGCCCAACAAAACCAGGAAGTGACCAAATTGAATTTTTTTTTAAAGACCAGCGGAAGTGTAATTAATCATCCTAACACATTGGAAAAGATTGTTAATACTGCATTAGTAACAGCCATGTTACCAGCTGATGAATAAATCTGTGGCCAAATACTGTAGAGTTTACTTGGACGCGGAGCCTTAAGAGCTTGACATCAGCAACAAAAAATATGAGAGGCATTTGGTTTGTTTTGTTATCTTAACTATGTATGTTTATATAGTTAGTAACATTTTATTAAAATGCATTTAGCATTGTTTTTATCCTCTGCTGCACATGGTCTGACTGAGCAGCCTATTTTAGGGTTGTGACCCACCAGTTGAGAACCACTGGTCTGTGTTTTGTATTTTGCAGAGCCCAGTTTTTTCTCTTATCACATTAAGGGCCTATTTACATATGTCACTTCATGTGTTCTTACTGATCCAATTTGTTAAAACTGTTGCATATATCTTCAATTCTATGCTCTGCCTTTATCTTTTTATCATTTTGGGAAGAATAACATTTATATATGTGGCTTCCAGATGCATTTCCACTTGTTCAGTTGTGTCTCAGACCATCTCCTGATGTGGTTTGCGTGATCGGATCGCCATCCATCTCACAAAATTAAATCATAAAATGTATAAATAAAGTTATTAAAAATGTACGACGAAAAGCTACCTCAATTATACTAAAATAACACTGCATTCAAGAACTATTAATGGAATAAAATTGTGAAAATCATTCAGTTCCTGTACTTTGTTCTGAACTGTTTTCCAATTTTAATCATGTGTCATGATATATTTTCAGCCTACTTGTGTTAACGTTTCTTCTCTCTGTTCTTCAGCTTGTATGAAGTTCCCACCGCTTCTGCGTCCACGTTCTCCCAGCACTTCCAGTGCCTCCTGGCCGAAGCCGATGAGACGGACAGCATCCATGACGTGACCCTGCAGGCTGGCGATCGCACCTTCGCAGCACACAAATACATCCTGTCCATGCGGTCGGACTTCTTCCGTAAAGTGCTCCACCCAGAGGGCTGCAAAGAGGGTGTGGAAGATGGAGAGGTGAAGAAAGGAGAAGACGCGGTGGGCTGTGATCTGCTGGTCCTGGAGAAGGTTTCTCCTGAGATGCTGGAGCAAGCGCTTCACTTCATCTACACAGACTCCTGTGAGATGCTGGTTCACGGGACCCGGCCCATCGTCCCTCGCTCTAACCAGAGCTCTGATCCTGAACCGCAGCAGCAGCTGATCCACAGTCTGCAGGCTCTAGGGCTGGAGAAGTGCTCCGCTCTGGATGTGTACCGCTCTCTTCCTGCTAAGACTCTTGAGGATGCAGACAAGCCCAAGGCCAAAAGCACTAAGTCTGGGAAAAAAGGCAAGAGTGGTAATGTCGGTGAACCTGGACAAAACCCAGTGAAGATGCTGCAGGGTGTCGCCAAAAAACTGGGCTTGGGGAGCCTCTCAGCACGGTGAGATGCTTTTTGAATGTATTTTTTCCCCCCAAAGTTTACTTGTATGTTAAAGGAATAGTTGACCAAAAAATTTTAATTGGCTGAACATGTTCTTCTCACCCTCAGGCCGTCCAAGATGTAGATGAGTTTGTTGCTTCATCAGATTTGGAGAAATGTAGCATTGCATCACTTGCTCAGCAATGGATGCTCTGCAGTGAATGGGTGCCGTCAGAATGAGAGCCCAAACAGCTGATAAAAACATCACAATAATCCACACCACTCCAGTCCATCAGTTAATGTCTGGTGAAGCCAAAATACGGGTCCATAATCCAAAATACCGTTTTCTCCAGTGAAAAAGTATCAGATCAAGCACCGTTTACAAGCCGAAAACAAATATGTGGGTGGATTGTGACATCAGGTGATGGACTTTTTCACTGGAGGAAGCGTTATTATGGATTATGGTATCGGAAGCTACAGTATGAACTTAAAAACGTATTGATGGATTCGTTTTTCACAAACCTGCAGCTTTTGGCTTCACAAGACATTAACTGATGGACTGGAGTGCCGTGGATTACTTGTGGATTATTGTGATGTTTTTATCAGCTGATTGGACTCTCATTCTGACGGCACCCATTCACTGCAGAGCATCCATTGATTGCAAGTGATGCAATGCTACATTTCTCTAAATATCCAAACTCATCTACATCTTGGATGGCCTGAGGGTGAGTACTTTTTTGGGTGAACTATTTCTTTAATCAAAGTGTCTTGCACCAAAAGCAGAAGAATACATGCAATACTACCTTATATTTTGCTCAAAACAACAAATATTGAAGTACATTTTGCTGATGTACTTTCAATATGTTTGTATGTAAATGAGGGGTTTGTATTTGCTGTTGCTATAATTCATCAAGGTATCCTGGTTGCTAATTAATAAGCATTTTACGACTGACTAGGCTTGATGGGGTGAAGTTTGAAAATGGGAAGATCAGTGTGGTGCAGAAGAAGACGGGCAATAAGCTGCGATTCAACCAGAAAAAATGGTGTGTGTTGTGATGAAGCATCAATGGAGGTCATACACTCTTTCAGTGGCTGTGAATACAGATCTTCTCATTGTGTGTCCTCAGCTCGTACCTCTGTGACGTCACGCTGCGCTCGGAGGACGGCAGAGAGTTTCCATGTCACAAATGTGTCTTGTGCGCTCGGCTGGGTGAGATCAGATATTTTATTTCACACTTGTGTCCACTGACATGTTCATACTGATTCAGATGATGTATTTAACAGCTTTATTTTCATTTGAGTCAAATTAGTGTTGGAAGGTGAAGCCTGTTACATTGCACTGTTGTATAGCAGAGTACTGAACGCTGATGAAGCATTCAAAATACATCTTTGCAGTTTTTTATTGGACAGTAAAATCATGTCTCCCCCCATTTTTATCAAATAAATAGACTACTGTTCAAAACTTTGGGGGTCAAAACTAAAGACATAAAAATTGTCATTACTTGAAATTAAACATTGTCTGAAATAAAATAAAATGTAATATAAAAAACGAAACTTATTTTATTTCAGTTAAATGCTAAGGCAATTGTTCTCATTTTCATTATTTTTTTTTGAAGTACTAAAATAACTAAAACTAACAGTACAATAACAAAAAATAAGGACAAAAACACAACAGTATTACTAAAACCTGTATAAAATGTAAAATAAAAAAATATATAAACATAAAATCAAAGTATTAGCATATGTTAACAAAAAATATCAAAATGTATAATAGTATGATCATACTACAATATTATGATACTGGTCAATAAGATTTTTCTTTTTTAAATTAATGCTTTTATTCAGCAAGGGTGCATTAAATTGATCAAAAATGCCAGTAAAGACATTTATAATGTTACAAAAGATTTCTGTTTCAAATAAATGCTGTTCTTTTGAACTTTCTATTCATCTGTGAATTCTGAAAAAGCTAATATTTTCCTCACAAATATTCAGCAGCACAACTGTTTTCAACATTGATAATAATCAGTTTCTTGAGCTGAGCTGAAGACTGGAGTAATGATGCTGAAAATTCAGCTTTGATCACAGCAATACATTACATTTTGCAATATATTCATACAGAAATGTGTTATTTAAAATTATAATCTTTCACATTTTTACTGTATTTTTTTTAAAGCAGCTTTGCTGAACATTTCAGTTCAAAAACATGGTAATAATGCACCAGTCAACTTTTGTTTTGTATATCTGTATGTATCTGTCTGCCCTGACTAAACGCACCTATTATGATTACTGATTCTCAGAGAGATTTTTGGCCACTTCATTAACTTCAGATCCTTTTAAAACCTGTTGAAACAAAACGAAGAGATTTATCAGAATGCTTTTGCTGCTGTTTTCCAGACAGTGATAGTTGAAAATGACTAGAAAACGAAAAACTGACCCATAATTTGTTCATTTTTCTTGTGAGAAACAGACCAAAACTTAAGTTTCTTGCTAAAAATCCTTAATTTGATGGTCCTTTGGAGCTTGAGAGTGCCCATTTATCTTCATTTTGTAGCTTAGACATTCTTCGTGCGTGTTTCACATAAGAAACAAAGTGTGCATTATCATATTTTATTATACATGGTGTGTGCTTTTAGTGATTTAATTTTGACTCTCTTATTTGTGCAGAGTATTTCAACAGTATGTTGGGCAGCCCCTGGATTGAGGTATGATGAAATGACATGAAGTAGCAGCATCGTCTCTCTGAACTGGAACTGTTGTGTTCATGTGAGTGTCTTCTGCCCTCTTCAGGCCACCAGCTGCACTGCGCTGGATATGCCCACCACCTCGGAGGTCCTGCAGGCCATTCTGGAGTACATCTACACCGACGAGTCTCCCACTGTCAGAGGTTTCACCCCAGACTTTGTGCTGGGATATTATTACCTGCCGTTTCTTCCTTTCGTCAGTGTAATCCATTTTCTGTCTTTTTATCTCAGAGTCTGTGAATGTGGAGTCTGTGTGTAACGTGCTGGTGGTGGCGGATCAGCTGCTGATCACCAGGCTGAAGGAGATCTGTGAGGTCGCCATCACTGAGAACCGTAAGTCTGCATATTTTTGTGGAAACTGTGATGCATTTGATTTTTCAGGATTGTTTGATGAATAGAAAGTTCATATTTAAAATCGATTTTTTTTTGGTCATTATAAATGTACTTACTATCAGTGTTGATCAGTTTAATGCATCCTTGCTGAATAAAAGTATTAAATTCTTCTTCTTCAATAAAAAAAAAACGTACTAACCCTTAATTTTTGAACAGTAGTGTTTTACACGGGCCGTTTGTCATATTCCAAGAATGACTGCAACTTGATATTTTGAATAGTTTTGTGGAAACTGTGATGCATTTGATTTTTCAGGATTGTTTGATGAATAGAAAGTTCAAAACAACAGCATTTATTTAAAATCGATTTTTTTTTTGGTCATTATAAATGTACTTACTATCAGTGTTGATCAATTTAATGCATCCTTGCTGAATAAAAGTATTAAATTCTTCTTCTTCTTCTTCAAAAAAAACTTACTAACCCTTAATTTTTGAACAGTAGTGTTTTACACGGGCCGTTTGTCATATTCCAAGAATGACTGCAACTTGATATTTTGAATATGGAAAAGTAGCAATAACAATTAACTTATCTTTCACTTGATTGTTATTATTGCATTGCATATAATATACCATGCATAGTCCAAAATGTTGCAGTGCAAGACAGACGCCAAGGTGAGAGGATTTTGTCCATGTATTGTGTGCAGTGACGCTGAAGAACGCGGCGGAGTTGCTGGAGTTTGCCACCGTGTTCAACGCTGATCAGCTCAAACTGTCCTGCCTGCAGTTCATGGTCCTCAACATGACGGCGCTGCTGGAGTCCAGGTGAGATCCAGACCACTGATGCATTTTATTTTTCAGGATTCTTTGATGAATAGAAAGTTCGAAAGAACAGCATTTATTTGAAATAGAAATCTTTTAACATAAATGTCTTTACTGTCACTTTTGCTCAATTTAGTGCATCCTTGCTGAATAAAAGCATTAATTAAAAAGAAAATCCCCAAGTTGCTCATGTGTCTGTCCGTCTCTCTGTCTGTCAGAGCGCTGGAGATCCTGAGCGATGGTGTCCTCCTGGATCTAACAGCTGCGTACAGGAGAATGGTAAGTTTAAATCATCGTTCTTGTCTGCTTCATTGAAGCTCTGCTCAAAGATCCTGACATCAGACTCCTCTGACAGATCCCAGCCATGCAGAGACGTCTCATCACGCCATACGCCGACGCTCCGGATCTCAGCGCCTATGAGGACCGAGAGTGGGACTCCGCTGTGGACTGCAAAAGCGGCTCTGAAGCCGATCGCTCCAGGTGTGAAATCTTCCTGCTGAAAGACTGTAATATGAATGACTGTCCAGCTGTACTCGGAGTCCTCTCTGTGTTCAATCTAGCGATAGCCTGCTGAAGAAGGCCAAGATGAGGGCTAAGAGGAAGCCCCGGCGGCGCTCGGACAGCTCTGGCGGATACAATCTGTCTGATGTCATTCATAGCTCTCCTACTGATGTCATCCAGAGTCCGGCCACTGCAGGTCAGCTCACTCGGCCTGCATATGAAACACACTAATGAACTGTTTGAGCAGAGCAGCACTCTCACTATTGCTCATCAGATCCCTCGGTGGTCTCTTTTGAGATGAGTAACCATCACAAAATACCTTAGCAACCACTCATAAGACCCTAGCAACAGAAAAATACCACTCGCACTTTCTTCAGAAAGCTGATATTGATCATCTAAATGAGTGGTTCTCAATCAGTGGGCATGCATGAGGAGCTTTCGAATATTGTGTTGGAAAATGGGGGGCCTTCAAGTCAAAAAAGTTTAGAACGACGAAAATCATGTGATGATCACAAAGCAAAAATGAATTATTAGGGCATTTCTATTATTTGAGTAGTTTTACTTCAGCCATGTTTATTTTGGCTGGATCTGTTTGACCTGGCTGTGCTCCTCAGGTTTGGCTCGTTCAGTGAAGGCCAGTTCAGTGGAGTCTCTGCCGGAGCTCATCACGTCTGACTCTGAGGGCAGTTATATGGGCAGCCCTCGAGACCTGCAGTCCCCCGTCTTCCACGACAGGCCTGATACGCAGGTGAAGCCACGACACCCGCATAATACAAACTCTCAAACTCCAGAGACACACATTTCATTATGTGGGTGGTATAATAACACGTTATTTAAAATGCTATTTTCAGTTTCACTTGCTACAGAAAGCAACAGCTATGGTAATATTTAATCCAAAATTATTTCAAAATTATTATTGCTTTTTAGTGTAACTTTACTTTTTATATATTAAGATATTATTTTTGTTTTATATATAATACACAGTACTCCTATATATTTATGTACTGACCATTTGTAAAATGTAAAGATATACTAGTAAAATTAGTATAATAGTAAAGCCTAGCTGTAGGCTGCATTTATTTGATCAAAAATACAGTGAAAATATGAAATATTATTACAATTTAAAAGAACCGTTTTCTATGTGAATATATTATAAAATAGAATGTATTTCTGTGATGCGCAGCTGTATTTTCAGCATCATTCCTCCAGTCTTCAGTGTCACATGATCTTCAGAAATCAGTATAATATGCTGATTTGCTGCAAACAGTTTTGAAAACATTTTAGTGAAAACTGATGCATGTTTTTTTTTTTTTACAGTAGCCTTACAAAAGCCTTTGAAATAGAATGTTTTGTAACAATGTAAATGCCTTTGCTGTCACTTTTGGTTAATTTAATGCATCCTTGCTTTATAAAACTAATTTCTTTTAAAAATATATAAATAATCATACTTATGATAGTGTATATTTTGTATTAAGATTCTACACAGTTATAGTCCAAATAGCTGTGCTTTGTGGATTCACTCTGCTTGAGTTATCACAATAAACTGAATGCTGTTGAGTTTCATACGGTACTGAAATTTAAGTAATTTTTCATCCTCCCACCAGAGAACTCGTATCCCATTATGTCTGAGTAAATGATGACAGAATTTTCACTGTTGCATGAAAGAATATTTGGTGTTTGTAGGATGAGAGACGTGGACCGATAGGACTAAAGACTCCTCCTGGCACCCCTGTTTTGAAGAATGGCCCCGTGCCGACCCAGTCGTCCACCCCTGAACCCATCCCTACAGTCAGAGCAAGGTGATTGAAATGCTCTGTCACAGCAAACAGTGTATGTTCTTGATTGGTATCGCTGTAATTCTGAATGTACGTTCAATCTCTGTAGACCGGCTTCTGTCCTGGACCTCAGGGCCATCATGGAGATGGAGGCCAACTCTCTGAACATGGGTGCCACACACAAGAGTCCCAGCTCGTAAGTCTTCCATCATGGTAGTTCAGCTAGTTATTTACTGTGCATTGTTATTTTTACTCTATTCTCTGCTTATTGCTTTTATGAACACCAGCTCGAGCAGCAGCACTAAGGTCTCGGTCGTCCCCAGTAAGATGTCTCAGAAGCAGAGGAAGATGATGGCTCTGGCCTCCAGAGTGGGCAGCACAGAGAATATTTCTGCTAAATCACCGCCGTCTCTTACTCCGGTTAAACCTGTGAAGACCTGGTGAGAGCCTTATTCCATTATGTCTCTCAAATGAAGTGCATATAATGTAGGGTGACCATATGTCCTCTTTTCCCCTGACATGTTCTGTTTTTTGGGGCCTTAATTGGTTGCACTTTATTTTACAGTACGTGTACTTACATGTACTTACCCAAGAAAGTACTGGTAATATAAGGTAACTACATGGGGTAGGGTTAGGTTTAGGGTTAGTACCTAGTTATTGTAATTACTACAATAAGTACATAGTATGTACATAAGGACCAGGACTGTCAAATAAAGTTAATTAGGGGTGTGCGATATGACGATTTTTGATCGTGAACAATTAAAATGTCTCCACGATCTGCATTTGAAGAAATATGGTAGTATCGCACTACTATTCTTATCAGTTGCAGCTCTGGCACCTCCGTCTCAATATACTGTACAACATACATTCACATCAAATGTTAACTCGCCGGTAGAGTTACACTCATAAAACACTGCACTTATTCACAATCACAAAAGTACATTATTTGCATGTGCTTTAAAGTCTTGCAGGTTAAACATTTCATTCACATGCTGTTCTGATGTGCGCTTTTTCTGAGCGCGTACACCTGAAGCGCGCGCATGCTAAAAAGCCTGTCAAACAGCGCCTGATTACTGAGTTCAAAGTAAAGTAAAATCAGATGTGTGCAGCTCTTGAAGTGACAGCAGACAAATGGCGCTTTTCCACTGCATGGTACGGCACGGTACGGCTCGGTACGGTTCACTTTTGGGGGGTTTTCCACTGGGTACAGTACCTGGTACTTTTTTTAGTACCACCTCGGTTGGGGTTCCAAGTGAACCGTACCGTTACCAAAACGTGACGTGTAAACTCTGCTGATCACGGATTGGCCGGACAGAATCGTCACTACCCGCGTCACTGAACTTGCGACACAAACACAACAGAACCGCTAGATTTAAATCAGCACAGCCAGCGAAGGATCGAACGTAACCGTTTTGAAGGAGCGCACCTTTTTTTAACTACCAAAAAGTTTTGTTGTCTGTTGCGTAAGGACAGACGTTCCTCTCGTTGATAGCAGAGGAGCAGATCCAGCAAGAGCTTGATGGGGCGATGCGGAATGAAAAAGTTTATTTAGGAGTCGTGGTAGTAGAAGGCGGCGCAACTATAACGACAGGTGAATAATCCCGCCCACTCTAAAGCGGTACTGAACTGCAGTGGAGACGCAAACCGTACCGTGCCGAGCCGAACCGTGCCGTACCGAGCCGAGTCATACCACGCAGTGGAAAAGCGCCATAATAGTACTAAACATGATGCCGCTTGTCATTAAAGGGAGAGTTCACCCAAAAATGAAAATTATTCACTCACTTTCATGTTGTCCCAAACCTGTATTAATTTCTCTCTTGTGCTGAGCACAAAAGAAGATATTTTGAAGAATGTGGGTAACCAAACAGTCGCCGGTCTTTGAATTCTTTAAAATAACTTGGGTTCAACAGAAGAAAGAAACTCATTCAGGTTTAAAACAACTTGAGAGTGAGTAAATGATGACAGAATTTTCATTTTAGGGTGAACTATCCCTTTAATGTTAATAAAACAACAAAACACAAAGAGAAAAATCACTCACTGCTCTTGACTGAAGAACTTTAATACAGTCACTTTAATAAGAATCAATGTATAATTTATACAGTGAAGTGTATATAGTTTTATATATATATATATATATATATATATATATTTGTTCATTCAGTTTTTTTAATGCTGTTGCAAAATACACCTACTGTACCTGAAAAATAAAGCACTGTTTGTTTTATTTGTATATTATGTGTATTTGTAATGTTAATGCGTCTTTGTCATTATTTTATCTTTGTTATTAAAAAATAAGAACAAAGATTTTTTATCTTTGCCCACTTTGGCCTAAATGTCTGCCATTGTTTTTTTATTTTATATTTTGTTACCTTATAAGGCTTTGTTTTTAAAATAGGAAAATTAGTTTGACTGTACTGCTCAGACAACTTGCAACATATAAAACCAACATAACATAAAAAAATCGTGATTTTCATGAAAAAAATCGTGATATGATATTTTTGCCATATTGCCCACCCCAAACTTTAATCTGCTGCCCTCTGCCAGAAAGTTGTCAATGGGAAGGAGGTTTACCTTCCAACATGACAAACACCCAAAGCAATACGAATACATTTTAACATTTAACAAGCTGTATAAATAGTATACCTTGATTCCTAATGCATTAAATAACACAATTAATTAACAGCTTTATTTCAGTTTTTACCATTAAAAAGTAAAAGTCTATCAAAAAATAGAATAAAAGGTGAAAACATAAATGCATACATAAACAATATGGTCACTTTATATAAGGGAAATTAGTTAAAGTGTCCTAGCTTAAGCCTATGGGTGATTTTGGCAGAGCCGTTAACTTTCTCATTTAGAAACATTGATTGGCTAATGATGTTTTCAGTTCATCAGTTGTGTGACTCATCCAAACCTTATGTCGTTGTGTCGTCAGGTCGACAGCAGTTCAGTCCCCGCCCTCCTCCAGTTCCTTCCGGGATCTTCTAGTAGAGGAGGAGCAGCGTGGGAAACCCTCTCCAGTATCCCCAGTGACGGCCAGGAGTCCAGCAGCTGCTGCAGGACCACCAATATGTGCCAAAAGAGTGACTTTTAAATGTGCCGAGAGCAGCGACCCGGAGAAACCAGCAGGGTGAGGAACATCTCATTCAGTGCACAATGTCCGTTCACTAAACACCTGATGCGCATGACACACTAAACTGGAAACACTTTCAAATCTGATCTAAATCTGATTGGCTGGATGTACGTTATCCCACTTATTACACAACTGCTTGCCACATAAGTAAATCATTAGACACAAAATATTGATCTACATTTATGGCATAATGTACAGTCGTATCACTAATTACACAGCTTTTCACCACATAAAAATGTTATTTGAGAAGAAAGCGTTTTAAAATCTTAACTCTTTATTGTCTTAATTTGGTTAAAATTCCTCATTGGTCATGTAAAACAACATCTTTCTTTTTTTCCTTGTCAAAATCAGCTCTGTTTACAGCGAGCCGTTTCAGTGCATGTCTCTTTAAATGCTAATGAGCTACTGCTCACCCCGCCCCTCTCTTCTGTGGGGCGTGTCGACACAACAGTGTGAAACATGTCTGTATATGGCTAGGAGGTGGTCTAATTCAAATAGCTTGCTATCTATGTAGAAACCGGCTGCAGGTTTAAGCGGCTCGCTGGATGATACAGTTTCAGACTCAGATAGCACGTAACAAACTGGCTGCGTGTTTTCTTTTCTGCTTTTCTGGACTGACAGACATGCCAGAAACTAAATGCTAAAAAAAAGCTAAAATATTTTAAAAAAAATGTCCCCTTTAATATTCGGATCTCCCAATTTGCTTGTGGGCATTAGAGACATGAGAGACATGCTCCAAAAAGATATATACTGGGAGTAAAAAGACAGAGAAAAATAGGAGCAAAAACACTCAACTATGTTGTTTTTAGTAGTGTGCTTCTGGGATATTTCATGTATCTCTGTGAAGGATATATGCAGTACATCCAATGAATTTATCCAAAATAAGGTATTATTCTTCTGCGGCCTCCCTTTGAGATGTCTTACATTTCCTCTTTTGTAGATGCACACTAGGTTTTTGGATCAGAGCTCTTGTGAGAGAGCAGGTGTTGCTCTGGTTCTCATTCATCTGTATGTTCCAGCAGGTGGCGCTGTAATGCTTCTGTATAACCCGGCTGTAGTCAGTGGGACTGAAGTCTCAGTCATGAGACAGTACATCTGCTGACATGCTGCTGTGTTTTGTAGGTGTGAGTTTTGGCTGATATTTGGAAGAATGATCCTTTTTCCTTTTTGCTGTTTTCTCAAAGAAATGGGATGTGCTTAGATCTGCAACAAGTGAAATGACCCGGAATATTTATTCAACTAGACAGATAAAAAGCTTTTTTTAATTGTATTTTATTGAAAAATGTCATTCCATAATTTCCCCTGTGATCTCCTTCCAACAATGTGGAAATTAATAGTTTTGAAAGCACACATAAAATGTCTGTGTATATGCATTGTGTGCAGAATTGTTAACAATATAAAAGTTGCGTTTAGAATTTAAAGATCATTTTTCACAACAAAAACAAAAAGCTGTCCACAGTTGGGAAGCAACAGTTTAGATTTTTTATAATGAATATATACAGTATATGTGTATATATATATATATATATATATATATATATATACACACACACTACCATTTAAAAGTTTGAGCTAGGTAAGTTTTTTTTTTTTTGGCATTTATTTGCTAAAAAATATGGCAAGATCTTAAATATTGTGAGATATTATTACGGTTTAAAATAACAATAGAAAATAGTAATTTATAGTAAAGTGTCATTTATTCCTGTGATGCGCAGCTGTATTTTCAGCATCATTCCTCCAGTCTTCAGTGTCACATGATCTTCAGAAATTATTCTAATATGCTGATTTGCTGCTCGAGAAACATTTCTGATTATTATCAATGTTGAAAACAGTTGTGCTGCACAATATTTGAGTGGAAGCAGTGAGGCATTTTACAGGGCTGAATATTTATCAGCAGCGCTCCACTGCCCGGCTGAGATTGTAATCTCTTTTGATAAGAGCAAACTTTGTCACAAACACACTCATCCCTGGAGCTCGACGTCACCTGTGTTTACGAGTGTGTGCCAAGAAGGTCGGACAGGCTGTAGAAACTCACCGTGCATCGCTGTTCTCAGGCGGAAAGTGTTTTGTTTTAGTTTTGTTTTTGTGCGTGTGTTGTGTATTCGTTTTTAATTTGTGCTCATTAATGGAGTCATTTCATGACTTTCAGTTCTGTGAACATTTCTGGACCGCCTGCATTCTTCCAATGATGTAAACAGAACAATGTACAAAATATGCAATATACAAATACGCTGTCCATTCTTTCAATCTAAAAAATAACTCAAAGAATAATTAGCAGAATCGTTAAAGGAACAGTTCACCCAAAAATGAAAATTAGCTGGAAATGTGCTCACCCTCAGGTCATCCAAGATGTATGTGATTTTTTTATGGACTGGAGTGCTGTGGATTATTGTGATGTTTTTATCAGCTGTTTGGACTCTCGTTCTGACGGCACCCATTCACTGCAGAGCATCCATTGCCGAGACACTGATGCAATGCTACATTTCTCCAAATCTGATGAAGAAATAAACTCATCTTGTATGGCCTGAGGTTGAGGACCGTTTCAGCTATTCATAATTCATATCCCTACTGCTTAAGTCAGTTGAAGCATTGGAAGCAACTTCAGAAATTGTTACTCAGCATTTGTACAAGTAAGCATTGAACCCTTTTCTCATCTGTGTTTTTCCCATCAGCCCTTGGGTGCTGAGGGCAGTTGGCAGCCCTCCTTCCACTTCTACATTTGCCTCCATTGTGGAGGAGGAGAAACAACAGGAAGCCGCGCTAATCCGCAGCCGCGAGAAACCGCTAGCGCTCATACAGGTAACGTTCTTCTGTCTTGTGTGCATTTGACATAGTGACATAGACATCCTTTTATTCACCAAATTAAAGTCGTGTCCACAGTTGATGGTCAAGACAGTAACTTTAACCTGGCAATAACACTGGACATGTCAGGTTGTCAAATGGCATGATGTGCATTATTTAGAAAACATGCTATTTTAATCAAACGTGCTCTGCTTTCAAACATTTCTACTTGGGAAAATGCATTACCATTTAAAACTTTGGGGCCAGTAAGATTTTTTCCAAAATAAGTGTCTTCTGCTCACCAAGACTGCATTTATTTGATTAAAAATGCAATAAAACTGTGAAATATTATTGTGATTTCAAATAGCTTTTTTCTATGTGAATGTTCGAATGTAATTTATTTCTATGTTCAAAGCTGTATTTCCAGCATCATTCCTCCAGTCTTCAGTGTCACATGATCTTCAGAAATCAGTATAATATGCTGATTTGCTGCTCGAGAAACATTTCTGATTATTATCAATGTTGAAAACAGTTGTGCTGCATAATATTTTTGTGGAAACTGATACATTTTAGTTTTCAGGATCCTTTTGTAACATTATAAATGTCTTTACGGTCACTTTTGATCAATTTAATGCATCCTTGCCAAATAAAATTATGAATTTAGCTCAAATATCTTATTTACCCCAAACTTCTGAATGGTGGTGTATGTGTGAAAACATTTTGAAGAATAATGATTAAGATGTGCACACTCATGTACTTAAGGTATGAGGAAAATATTTACTTTTTGTTTTATGATGCATGACATTACATCTTTTAAAAATTGAATTGGATCATTAAAACCTTGACTAAAAACAGTATGAAAGTGTCAAATTGTACAAGAAACACTTGTGCGCATTTTTAAGAATTTTTTCAAATGTGTTGTAAACTAGATTTTTAAAAATGTCCTTTTCCTGATGTTTATCATTTGACCCTTGTATTCCGTTCATCTCATCTTTATCGTAGATTGAAGAACGAGCCATTCAGGACCTGTTACTCCATTACAAGGCCATTAATAACCCAGAGGAGCTGATATTAGTGGAGAGATCCCCTCAAGGTCCAATCGCCATCCCAACCTGGAACAAACACTGATGCTGATGCGAGGTTGCGGTGACACTTCCCACTCGCGCTCACGTTTCAGCCAGTATTAAGGTGCATCACAAGCCATGTTCTGTTTTCATCACCTTATTCTGCAGCAAGCACAATTGCTTTCTTTGACTGCATACTTTTACATTCTATATGCTTTTTTTCATTAATTTTGCTGTTTTCTTGTAAGAAAAGACTGGAATATAGAGTGTAATCTGTTGTTCTCAGCCTGAAGAGTTGCCACATGTGCCAAAATGTGATTTAAAAAAAAAATTTTTTTTTTTTTTATTATTATTTTATGATGCAGTGCTACAGTGATCTGCATCTCACAGCTAGTGTATGTGTTTATGAAGAGCAAACTCGCATTGTAACCAGACGAAGAAAATCCAATCAGCCGTGAAAAGCAATAAAGACTTTATTAGGTTGCTCACAAGGGCTGTTTGAAAGAGCTGGTGTTAAAGAAAATCAAGTGCACAATGAAAGGAGCTGAGATTTACGAATATGCATTTTATTTTTCACTTCCTCATGCAGTTAACGTCAATAACATTATCATTTGGTGTTCAATATAATGATAGTTTGTTTGTCACTAGCAGAATAGGATTGGTACTACAGATACAAAAAAATGAATACCTCAAAGTCATCTTTGCTTAATGTTAAGAGAAGATATTTGCAGTGGCATGCAATAAAGAGATGATTACGAGCTCCAGCGGTTGTTGTTTTGTATGTCATTATAGTCATTTCTTAAAGTTTACCCTGTTACCCAGACAGACCCCCACTAACTTAAAGTTACTGCATATTAATCTGCCAGGAGAGAAAGTATTCTAACATAAAAATATTACATTTGCCTTTAATGACTTGCCATTCCAGCTTAACTTCAACACTATGACTCTGTCAAGGTCAAGACCATATAATATTATTTAACAGGGCTGAATATTTATCAGCAGCGCTCCACTGCCCGGCTGAGATTGTAATCTCTTTTGATAAGAGCAAACTTTGTCACAAACACACTCATCCCTGGAGCTCGACGTCACCTGTGTTTACGAGTGTGTGCCAAGAAGGTCGGACAGGCTGTAGAGTGCATCGCTGCATCGCTGTTCTCAGGCGGAAAGTGTTTTGTTTTAGTTTTGTTTTTGTGCGTGTGTTGTGTATTCGTTGTGCTCATTAGCTCATTAATGGAGTCATTTCATGACTTTCAGTTCTGTGAACATTTCTGGACCGCCTGCATTCTTCCAATGATGTAAACAGAACAATGTACAAAATATGCAATATACAAATACGCTGTCCATTCTTTCAATCTAAAAAATAACTCAAAGAATAATTAGCAGAATCGTTAAAGGAACAGTTCACCCAAAAATGAAAATTAGCTGGAAATGTGCTCACCCTCAGGTCATCCAAGATGTATGTGATTTTTTTATGGACTGGAGTGCTGTGGATTATTGTGATGTTTTTATCAGCTGTTTGGACTCTCGTTCTGACGGCACCCATTCACTGCAGAGCATCCATTGCCGAGACACTGATGCAATGCTACATTTCTCCAAATCTGATGAAGAAATAAACTCATCTTGTATGGCCTGAGGTTGAGGACCGTTTCAGCTATTCATAATTCATATCCCTACTGCTTAAGTCAGTTGAAGCATTGGAAGCAACTTCAGAAATTGTTACTCAGCATTTGTACAAGTAAGCATTGAACCCTTTTCTCATCTGTGTTTTTCCCATCAGCCCTTGGGTGCTGAGGGCAGTTGGCAGCCCTCCTTCCACTTCTACATTTGCCTCCATTGTGGAGGAGGAGAAACAACAGGAAGCCGCGCTAATCCGCAGCCGCGAGAAACCGCTAGCGCTCATACAGGTAACGTTCTTCTGTCTTGTGTGCATTTGACATAGTGACATAGACATCCTTTTATTCACCAAATTAAAGTCGTGTCCACAGTTGATGGTCAAGACAGTAACTTTAACCTGGCAATAACACTGGACATGTCAGGTTGTCAAATGGCATGATGTGCATTATTTAGAAAACATGCTATTTTAATCAAACGTGCTCTGCTTTCAAACATTTCTACTTGGGAAAATGCATTACCATTTAAAGCTTTGGGGCCAGTAAGATTTTTTCCAAAATAAGTGTCTTCTGCTCACCAAGACTGCATTTATTTGATTAAAAATGCAATAAAACTGTGAAATATTATTGTGATTTCAAATAGCTTTTTTCTATGTGAATGTTCGAATGTAATTTATTTCTATGTTCAAAGCTGTATTTCCAGCATCATTCCTCCAGTCTTCAGTGTCACATGATCTTCAGAAATCAGTATAATATGCTGATTTGCTGCTCGAGAAACATTTCTGATTATTATCAATGTTGAAAACAGTTGT